GGGAAGCTGGGGCGGGGGCTCGGCCTGTCAGGGCAGGGGACGGGGCGTCTGCGCTGGGGTTTTGGTGTGGAGAAGGGCTGAGCCGACGCGGGGCCGTGGGACGGGTGGGGTTTTGCGGCCGTGGGACAGGAGGTCTGGGGGCTCCGCTCGCGAGTGCGGGGCAGCTCGGCCTGGGGGGGAGGTTGGGCGTGTGACTGTGTGCACGGAGGACGAGAGAGTCTCCTGGCCTCTAAAAGCAAAGGTGGCCTGCAGGAGAAGCGAGGGTTGGGTGTCCACCTTCGGCGTCACCTGGCTGTGAAGTCCCAGGGGAGGTGAATACGTAGGAAGTGGGGGAATGGGATTCAGGTTATGGAAACTTGCAAGGGAATCAGCAGAGAGAAACTCAGGCTGGAAGTTCAGGCAGCAAGAAAAAGACGTGTCTTTTGTGGCTGGCGTCTAAGCTTGACTACACGCGTAACATTTAGGGTGAGCCTGTGGGTGACCTGGAGGCTGGAGGGCTTTATCTGTGAGGAACAAGTAGGAGACTGTGGTGGCTTTGTCTGCAGAAGACGTGCAAGCTCCAGTTGTGGGAGACTGTGTGGGGCTGGACGTGTAGATGGAGTAGGTGGTGGCTGTGACGTTGGGGGTTCAGTCTGTGGAAGCCTGGCTAGAGAGAGATGCGCTTGCATGGTTCAGAGAACCAGAAGGAGTTGGCAATGACGTTTGGGCTCACGTGGCTGAGTTAGAGGCTCAGCTACTTGAAGACGTTAGGGTGGAACTGGCAGTCCGGCATGGCGAAAACGTGTGAGCCAACAATTTAGCTGTAGGTATGAGGGACTTGAGGCATTGCTGTTGCTCACAATGAGAGTGGGATTCCGGCATCAGCTAGAAGTGATTGAAAAGAAGAGTGTATGTGTGTGCTCTTGTATTTGTGTTTGATTGCACACCCACTGGAAAACAGTACACAAATGAAATGGGGCAACCATCCAATGGACTGTTCAGGGAGCACATTGTTATGATTTCCCATTAAAAAAATTGCCTACAACTTTCTCTGTGATGTGATAGGGTGAAGGTTGGTAGTCACATCAGATTTGTTGCCACACTGTCACATCTCTTTTCAGTTGTGTTAATGTTGATGTGTTGATGCAGTTATAATGACAGTGTATTTTTATCAATTAACTACTGGGGTGATAGGTTGTTTCCCATGACTACATATGGTTTCTTGAGCCCAGCAGTGGACTCATGCAATGTGATATTCCAAGGAATGAGGGTGTTCCTGACCCGTGTCCGTTTTACATGGTTTTGCAAGTATGTAGTGTTGCCCCAGATCTTGGAAAGTTTAAATATGCCTAATGCATATGGCACAAGAGCAAGTTGTAGGAGATGCTTTCCAAAAAGGGGAGTGGGAAATTTGGGACATTTGGTAATGTTGGTTTAATAGCTTTGGAAAACAGAGCTTCTCTCTATAACTGTTGAATAGGTACGCTGTAACAAGGCAGGTGCACTGTTGCTTGCCGTAGGGGAGCTGTGCAGTATCATAAGATACTCAGTTTCTCTGATGCCTGTGATGACTGTCTCTGCTGTTGCCTTGAACATGAGCTGTGGAGGTACAAGGTTTGTATTTATAGTGTGTATGGTCACCTTATTGGGAGACTTTAGAGGTACGTGACAGTGGATTAATGTCAAATGATAAATTCTGGCACTGTCCCTAGTCTTCCGCTCTGAGACAAGGACATTGGACCTGTTCATGAATCAGCTCCTGAGTCACTGCAATTTTCAGTGCAGCTGATTAAGGGTAACCAGATCTGGCTTTGGTTTGTTCTAAGACTAGGCTGCGAGCCTTCACCAGAGAGTGGTCCAGGTAGCTGACGGGGAGTAACAGCAGACTAATTTTTTCATCCTGCACAGCAGTGCCAGTACTGCAGGCAAACTTCAAAAGCTGAAAGTTGTTCATACAAATCTGTTTTATTTGCTATAGCCATGTGATGATGCACAGATTAACCCTATGTCAGCTGAGAAAGCAATTGCATGTGCTGAAGCTTGTTGTTTCTGTAGTAGTATGAGTTGAGGATACTCTCCTCAGTGTCTTGCAGATTGATGTTGTAGTTGTGCTCACACAGCTCTTTGGGCTGGGCTGCGATCAAGACTTGGACTTTTGATCTACCTTGTTGCTTTGGGAGAGGGGGAACACAGTGCTTTACTTTCAGCGTTTATTCAGCTTCCTCACCTGGTTCATGACATGACCCCACAGTGTGTTGTGACAGCTAGAGATAGCAGGCTGCAGCTTACAGGTGAGAACAGAAGTGCTTCCAGCATTTGCAGAGAGAGGTGACTTTGACATTAGCACTAAGTGAACATATTCCCAAACTGGTGTGAGACTGAGGAGTGATAATTGTTTACAAGTGATAAAGTGGATCAACAAGATCACAAGTGAGCCTGTGATCAAGCCCTTCCAATGAGCCAAGTACCATTTGTGTGATGATAGTGGGTTTTGTTTGAATTTGAAGGTGCTAGCCCCAGGGGAAGCTTGTGGGCTGTTCCTAATTTTCTCCACCATGTGGTAATTTGTTAAATTAAGTTTTTGAGATGGTACTATCAAACTCAAATTTTAGTTAAGGTGAGAGTTTGTATAGGTTAATTGAAATATTTTCACAATTTGACTTTATTGTATGAAGACAACTGCAAAACCCTAAATGCATTTATCTATAAACAGTACAGAGATTAGGTGATGGAGTTAATTGGACAATCTTAGAAGGCTGAGGAAAATAAAGGTAGTGGAGAGAATTTATGAAAAAAAAGATAGTGGAGCAGAATTTTGTGCCCTGTGCTTTTGTTTTTCACTTTAGTATAATGTTAGTTACTTATGTGGGAATAAAAAATCTGTATGTTCAGCTAAATGAAACTGTCGCTTTAAGGAAAACACTATAGTTTACCTTAAAGCGACAGTTTTTTATAGTTTACCTTACACCCTTCCCTGAATTGTGCTAAGTCCTATTTTTAGTGACTTCTAGGAGGTGAGGATTCAAATTCAGTGACTGCTAACTTAGCACAAATACTATAATGCCTGGTACTTTGTCATTCTTAAGTGTTTTCTGCAGACACATAATTTAATAGTTAAAGCCCTGGGTTATTTTAAAGTTCTGGAAATACCTTTTTTTTTGAAACTACTTCAGAACAAATCTTGATCTTCTTTAAGAAAAACCAGTCCTCAGGCTTTCATCTGTTACTCATCATGTGATGATCAGATGAGAATGACCAACTTCCTTTGAAACCTTTTTCATTTATCCTCATTTACGTTTCTTAGAATATATTGTACAAAATGTATTTCATCGCACTATGAATATACACTATTTTGGAATTTGCCCTCCCTACATATCAAGGAGTTCTTTATGTAAAGATTACATGCTCCAATTTAAATAAATATTATTAATTCATGATCTTAGTAAGTGTACTTGAAACGGGGGCTGGTCGCTGGGATGTTTTGTGAAGGTGACCTGTAAGATAGTCTTTACAGTCTTGAAAGTTAATGCACAGTGAAGAAGGAGTACTGTTTTTTGTTTTAGCAACCTGTGCATTGTTTGGTTTTTTTAGTCAAGTTTTTCTTGCTTTTCCTGCTCCCCCGACATGTTCCCAGTCTGTTTTATTATGAGCAATCTTTTAAAATCAAGAGCCAAAATACTTATTTTTCTAGTTCTGTTTAAAGGGCCAAGCTTGTTCCCTTTTTGTTTATTGCCTTTAACAAAGCCACATGCAGTTTCTGATGAAGAACAGCCAGTGGTGTCTGTTTCAGGTATGACCTAGTAGCTGTAAACAAAGTTTTTTCCTGTGAATGCTAAGTTTTGCAATGTCTTTTCAGGTACGTGGTTTGTGTACTTAAGTATGTAAGGTACAGAGTCATTACAAGTATTAATGGGACATACAGGATTATAGCAGAGGATTTATGCTCTGCTGCTTAGATAAACACACAGCACAAGATGAGCAGTTTCAGGGGACTTGCTTCTATTGCAGGTACAGCATAGTTTTATCCAATCTGTAACGTAAGCTGCATTTTTAATGTGGTCTCCAAAGAATGTTGAAGCATTAGAGATGTTCAGGTCTTTTGTAAATCTTGAAGAGAACAATTAAAGTGAAGATTCATTGTGTAAAGAAAAATATGGGGTTTTTTTTCAAGTAGCTCTCTTGATCTTGATTTACTGAGTGCATGCTTGTGTATGTCCCTGGGGAAGAGATGGGTGTTCTTAGTGCCCGTTCAGAATTTGCTAACTGTTTTCAAGCACAACGTTTACAGTGACACCAGGTCCTGAAAATACATCTGGGGATGATTAGTAAAATTGTGTATATGTCCAGAGTATGTCCAGCATTTACACATTTTGAGGAATCCTACTCTTTAAGTTTGGAGTAGCATGGTCAGCCTTCAAAAATACTGGCCAAACAGCTCTAATAAAAATCTCAGCTTGTATTTTTTAGCTAGCACAGTTCAAGCCAGGTAATGTCAGGTCACTGTTCTCTGTGCCCTGGAAAGAAAGCAGTGATCCTAAACGATGGAAATGGATTCACTCTGGGAAATATTTTTCTACTTCCATGGAAGAGAATTTAGAAACATTGTTCTCCCTTCTGTACAAGCATGGAGAAATTACAGCTTAGAATTTAGTTCTTTCAGTTGAATTGATGGCACACTTCTGAAATTCATTACTCAAAAGTAATCTGTCTGCTAGTATAAACTCAGTATTTTTTCTTCAAAACTTTTTGCACTCCTGAACAGTCAAAACTCAAACCTTGAAGCAGTACCAAGAAGCTCTTGGCTTTCACCTGGCCCTGAGCAGTTTTAGTCTGAGTGTCAGTGTTGGCACTTTATAATTGCAACACCGGGATTTTCAGTGCTTTAATGCTGTTACTGTTGGTAGGGGTGAACTAATTCTAATTATGTCAGGAAGCTTTTTACAGATGTTCTGTGGCGTGTGCACTGTGGTGTTAGCTTACTTATATACCTGGTCCTGAAAGGAACAAACAGTTAGCGTGAGCAATCAGTAGGTTAGCTGTATAACAGAAAAAAGTAATTTTTTATTA